GCAGATTGCCGCTTTTCCTCAGGTGCCTGTGTGACTGTGTAGATGTGGCTGTTGTGAGAATGACCACGCAGCTCCTCTGACTCTGTCGCAGAAATTCACCCGGCTGGCTGCCTATGCAGGGAAGAATTCGCTTTGCAGTGTTCACAGGGCATACAAAGTAATGTTAGCACCTTGCTTTCATTACAGTAGCCTCGTTTTCTCTCTTTTTTATAATAATATATAATAGCAGAGTTTGGGCAGCCAGTCGACACCCAGAGGTTTTTCTCAAAGATTTTGGTTCCTCTCCTCTGTTGTCTTCTGGCTTTCTTTCATTCCTTTTTCCATTTCATTCACCATATTGTATAAATGTTGTAATATTGGATTGCCGCACACTCTTGTTAAATGACTTGGAACTTGATTTATTGTGAGAAGTGTTATATAAAAATTATTTGAAAACTGGGGCTTGACTGATGGCCATCGGGTTGAGCATACCTTACTGTTTCTGGTTTGACTTGTTGTAGTGATGTAGAAAATTGTGGAGGCAGTGATCCACCAGACACGTGTTAAGACCATAAGCCAGCCGCACGTTGATTTACTGCTATGATTTGCCTGACTGGCACTATGTCTGTGCTTATAGAAAATTAATCAATGCCCTTCTGACCTGTCAGATTGGTGCCATGGTGTGAAGGGAGCAAGCAGTGCACATATGCTGGTTACTGACTGGAGGGTTTGTCCCCCTTTTTACTTTATTCTTCAGAAAAGAAACTGTTGATATTATGCCCAAGGAAACTGGAGTCCTCTGATCGTGTTCCAGTCCTCTCCTAATTCAGCGGTGCATACAATGCAAGGAAATGCTCCTGGGTTCATACAGTCCAGTTCCATTCTTGCAAAGAGATGTAATAGTTCAAAGTGAAGGAAGAAAAAAAAACACAGGCAGATATAGAGGAGGGGGAAAAGGTAGGACATTTCCGAAGGAGTTTTAATGTGACATGGGGGTAGGCCTGTGACATGGGGGCAGGCCTGTGACTGGGGGCAGAAAGTTCCCCTTGCCAGGGTGGCTGTTTGTGGACGGGACGGCTGGGGCAATTTTGGTTTATGGGTGTCAGGAAATAGCCTCCCCTGGGAGCTGCCATGACGGCCGGCCAGTCCAGGATCTACGGCCGCTTCCTGACAGCCGGCCTTGTCTGCCCTGCTTGAGAGAAGGCCCACCTGCAAAGTGTGGTTCTTCCTGCTTGTGCTGTCTGCCGCATGGTGCCACAGATCCCTGAAGAGCAGCTTTTCTGTGGTTTCAGGTCCTGAGGAGGGCCGGGGTCAGGCGGCTGACAGCTGTAAAGCAAAGCTTCAGCACCATCAGTATTACTGGACATCACTGGTGCTTATGTTTATCTCTAATACATTTACTGTGGCTGCTGTTATATTTAACTCGGAAGTATCTATAGTCATATGTACTCCAGTTTTTACTCTCTTGAATTCTAATGTTTTTTGTCACTTTTCTGCTAAAATATCAGACAGTGTCTTGGGGTCAGTTAAACCCCCCTGTTTCAGACAGTTCTTGATGGGGAGATATTTAGACAGACAGACAGACTTTATTGCCATTTGCACAGGCATGGGACAGTACAAGTTCATTGGAATTATTCTGCGTAGCTCGCAGCTTACAAGGTAGAGGGAAAAAATGAGTCCAACAGCAGTGCGTTAATAATAATCACACTAATATAAACATAAACTGTAAAAAGAAAATACACCCTGGATTATTACTGTCAATGCTTTAGAAAGCAGAGATTAAAGGCCATCCATCCATTTTGTATACCTACTTGTCCTACTCAGGCTCGCAGAACACCAGACCCTGTCCCTGGAGTCCAAGGGCACAAAGCAGGAAACAACCCAGGACAGGGTACCAACCCATCACACACATCATTCAGTCCTACAGGCAGCTTTGTAACTCTGAATCATCATGGCACGTTTTTGCTTTTGGACTGTGAGAGAACATGCAAACTCCACATTCCCCAGTCTCCCCCCGAAGCAGCACTGACTTGCAGGTTGCTGCCATGACTTACCCCCCCCCCCCCTCATTCTCTGTACATTCCTCCTGCCTCACAGGATATGTAACATGACACCCCACCCCACTCTAGTGCTTCAATCCTGGCCTCTGCCGGAAGGGCACACACACACAAACACACACTTGGTCCTGCTCATTCTCAGACAATGCTGTATAAGCCGCCAGGCTGCGGGGGCTTTTGAATTTGCCCCCTGAGGGTTAAGCGGGGCTGGGCTGGGTCTGCCGGCTTCGGTGGGACAGTAGTGCTCTTTCCCCCGTGCAGCCTGTGCCTCTGTTGACTATGGGACTGTAAGATGCCCACTGCTCTCCTGCTGTTTTCCCTTCAGCTCAGTGGATCTGAATGTAGCTGTGAAGACGGATCTGAGGGCAACAGAAAGAAGAAACCCAAGGACCTGTAAGTCCAGCAGAGCCCACGTTCACTGTGTTTGCATTTTGAGTGTGATCTGCGCCAGAAAAAGCTACTACTTAGGAACTATAGACTGACTTGTACTAATAGTACATTTTTTCTCCCCAAAACATACGATTAAGTCATTCTTATGAGTATGTACAATGACCCAGTTTAGGAACCAGAGAGTTATTAAGCAAAACAGACATCATCAGACAGTTTTAAACTTTGGAAATGCAAAACATCTTGGATTTTAATTTTATAGTACACAGACAATCATTAAAATGCATGACAATTGTTAATTACAGCTGTATTTCAGACCACTTTCTCAGTCATGCACACATTGTCAGGTATAAATAGATTTACTTACTTAGACTTAAATAGACTACTTGACCTACATTTATCATGGAGGTGGTATGAAATTATTCTAATTAGAAACTGGCTTCGGTTGCAGGGGCCCAATCTCCAGTTTTGTCTAAAGCAGAACGTTTTGTCTGAACAAAATGTGAGTCTCCCCAGCACTGCTGCGCTCCTCCCAGGGGAGGTGGTGTTTCTGTGTATCATGTTTGGGCACACTAGGGCAGAGGTTGTTCTGGGGATGAGGAAAAAAATGGAGGTCAGGGAGATGCCAGAGGTGATTTTTTCCATGAGTGGGAAAGGGAAGAAAAGACAGTGAGTTCTCGAACCCGGCACACATCTGGAGAGCTGCTTTCCGCTTCCAATATAGGAAGAAGGCTCATAAGGGTAAACAACTACAGGGTGATTGATGGTAAGCACTGCACAGGATACATCACCATGAATATTAATTACTGACTTTAGCTGTAGAAGATTTAAAGGTAGACATATTGAACTGGGGGCAGATCAGATGTTTGGATGAGAGTTGGGTTTTGTGTGCAGTTAAGACAGATTGGCATGCAGTGTGTCAAAGGTGCTTCCTGCACTTTTGGCTCTCTTGTGGGGTGTTCCCCTGGTCTGCTGTGGGAATTACCCTTTCCCCATAGACCTGACCAGATACGGCAGCAGGGGAGACTGAGTGAGTCCGTCAGGCAGCCCGCAGCTAAATGAAAGATCATTGTTTGTCCCAGAAGACACATGCATAAAATTTTGCTACTGTTTTGGCAGAGCTGGTCTCTCTGGCTCTCGGTTAGCCTCCAAGTGCTAAACTGGTTCAATTAAGTGCCCTGGGAGTCTCAATTGATTTTACTTAAAAATGGTGTTTTTTAATTAGCTCCAATAGAAAGTTGTAGAAGGAGTCGTAGCTATTATAAGGCAAACATGCAGTTAAATATAATCACCTATGTCGGTTTTGAGGTGTGTATTGATGTGAAGTCGCTCCTGGACAAGTTAGTGGAAGTCAGACTTGCAGTTTCTCGAGTGCTGCATTGACTCTCTAGGATCATGGGCTTTTCTCTGTATTTCATTCCTCCTTCACTCTGTGCTGGTCCTGTACTTTTTTTCCCATCTGCTTTGGCCTGGGTGCTGTTTCCATCAGTGAATGGAGCCAGGGGGAGGTTTGGATTCCTGAAGGGAATATGATGAAAGAGGTACACTGTGGTGGGGTGCGACAGCAAAATATGGAAGTCTGTTGAGGCTGTATTTTTTTTGTACTTTAAGACCAAACACTGTGGAGATTTTGATATTGTCACCTTGTTTTTGGATCAAGTGACATGTTACTGGGGATTTTGACCAGAATGTTGTTCTGGGTTATGAAATTCATACACTAACAGCATTAGTCAAATAGTTACTGGTATGTTAATTCATTTTGAATTTGAATTAGATGATTAGGTATCTTGGCATCATTTGTAGCCGTTTGGAAAATGCTACTATTGTTATTAATCCAATTGTTTTAGACAAGGGGAGTTCATGCATGTGTCAAGTTCTTTTTTATTATTTTTATTTATTATGTTGCATTATGCATGTTTTCTAAGTAATTGTATTTGCAATTATATGAATCACCACTTTTGCCAGCATAGGGAAAGCATATAGAAAAACCGTAAAATGAACATATTTGTACCTGCACATCCTTAGAATAATTTTTGGCAATGTAAAGTAATTTAAAAAAAAAAACATATTTAATTTTGCAAAGGGGAAAAGGTACATGTCCAGTGGAATTCTGTAACAACAACAACTTGGTCTGGTTACTTTGCTGCAATTGGATTTGTGTCAAGTCTCACGATGATATAAAGTGAACCAAAATCACCACCAATATATTTTATATCCACCTGGCTGAAAGGTCATGAGAGAGGCCCACTGTGTCCTGTGTCTTCATGTATAAAATACATTTATTTGCACCATCCTCGTGAATTGCATGGAGAATTCCTCCTTGTTACCACGCATCGTGAAACTATTTTGTTATGCAGAAACGGACACTAGAAAATGATGGTAGATTTCCACTTATTAAATGTTTGGGATATAGTGAATTACAGAAGGACAAGGCTGCGCTTGACCGTTTCAGAAGTAGTGTCTACAAAAGCTTGCTTTCCAGTGATGAGTGAAGGGACAGTCTCCCGTGAAACACTGACATGGCTGTTAAGGCCAAAGTCAAGCTGACACATTCATGCAATGTTAGCAGATCAAGCTGCCGTCAGATAGGAGGAATGAGGGCTTTGCTCGTCTCTCAGCAGCACATGCTAAATCAGAGCCGCTTGACAGCTTCCTCCTGCCCATCTGGAAACTAGCTTGTAGGAAGGGCCAGCCATAAGCCCTCATTAACACCTCAGTATACACACCAAAGTGAAAGGGTATAAAACAGCAGAAACTAGGTCTGTCTGGGCCCATTTCAGCTCCTTTTATTTATATTTGGGCTTAGATTCATTCAGTTTATGGTTATTATGATCCTGATGCTACAATGAGCAGTAATTAGTTTTTTGTCTGTCTGATTTACTGCCCGTTGGTAATCATAGTAACTGTTACGATGTATGAGAATTCACTTGCTGTACATCGATCAGTTGAGTATAGTGTAGAAAAACAGCACATACATACCTTTGGAGAGAGCTGAGATGTGATTGGTGCAGCACAGGGTACAGGGTCCACCCTCCAGGCTCTTTGTGGTATGTAAGGCTGAGACGAGGCAGTGCTGGCCCAGAGGAATATGACAGCCGGCCGCCCTCCCTCAGCTTCTGCGCTCCCACGACCTGCACCTATGCTCCATATCATGGTTGATTTCTCAGAAAGATACCTGGAAAGGTAGGTCACCATGGAAATTAAGCCCCCCTCCCCATTTTTATCCTTGTCCACTTCAGTCTGTTGCTTTAAAAGTAGGGGAGGTTAAAAACTGACCCAGAATGCAGAATCACACCAGTGGACTGTAAGGTGGCCCAGAGGGTTGGCGCTGGAAGAGGACTCCATAGGTACTGCTACAGTGTCTTCGGGGATTTCGAGCTTTGGTCCGTAGCAAACTTAGTTTAAAATGTACGAATGTTGCAGCACTTGTTTTTAAATGGTTTCCAGAGCAACCAGTTTGATTTTCATGCTTGTTTGATAACTAGATACTGACAGAGTTGTGGATGTCTTCATTCTATGTTGCATGTGAATTTTGAGGACTGAATTAAATATGTTACTGTGTTACTCATGTTTTTATATTCCTTTGAGTGTTTGTTGGTCTGTATACTGCTGTGTACACAGGGATGTATGTGGCCCGCATCTGAAAGAGAGAGAGGTTTAATTGATATAATTATGACTCTAATGAGGCCAGAAATGTATGGACATAAAGGCAGCAGGTGGGTGGATGCAGATGGATGTTGGGGTCTCTCCAGGCCGGCATCAGTCCTGGGTAATTTTACGTTGACTGATGTGTAATACAGGGCTTCCGCTTGTCCTCTCACGGCTTCCTCCCTTTGAAAGCAGCCTAATTTAGTCTCCCTTGCAGTGCCGAGGATGCTATTAAGGGCTGTAATGAGTGCCAGGCAATGTGGGAATTTCTGGATTCCTGAGATAATTGGGTATAACCCTGCCCCAGGCTGCAGAGGGTACGTCTGATGATATGTGGAAGTGCACTCAAACAAGACCACACCATCCTAATTTGATAATGCCCCATGATCACCTCATTCTTGCAGCATATTAGACAGAGGGGCTGCATGACAGGCTTAAAATTTTGCAAAGCCTTTACTCCCCTTATGAGTAGGATGATGGCTATAGGCTGTTGGGAGTGCTCATGTAAAGTGAGGGTTGGCAGATATCTGCTAGGTCACTGGCAAATTTAGCAGTTGTTAATCTGACACACGTACCACCAGAGATTTTCACCTCATCTGTTCAAAGGGTTGCTCTGTGTTTGAAGATTTAGAAAGTTAGGTACATCGAGGCCATCTGAAAGCATTTAGGTCCTACTTATTATAATCAGCAGAGGACATTTAGGACTGAGCCAAAGACTGAACGAAGACACCTTATTTTTGTAGGGTGTAATCTGACCTTGTCTGTACATGGCCCCCAAATTTCTGCCAAAAATGCAGTCCATCGTGTGGCATTCTGTAAATGGTACTGCCTGGACATAAACATTCTGTAAATGGTACTGCCTGGACATAAACATTCGATGTGTTACAGTGAATATTATTATGTAACCATGTTTAGTGGCTATAGTTTGGCTATAATAATGATGATTATCATTATTTATTATCAATACAACCACAATACAAATAAGACAAATTATAATGCTGAAAATTTTTGACACTAGTAAAATGTGTATATTTGTTGTTGTTATTGCTGAGTATAGACCACATGTTAGGGTTCTTCAAAGAGATGCATACGATAATCCCTTAGAGGTTCCACATGCGTCTTGGTTTGTTTGCATTCCTAAAAAGCTCTGCTTAAGTTGCTTACATTACACAAAGTAATCTTGGATAATATTGTATGCTAAATAAAGGAATAGTAATCACATTTATGTTAGGTCATATTAAGCTTTAAGTCCTTGTAGTTCACTTAGGTTTACTGTAGGTGGCAGTGTGGAGTTAAGTTACAGTTCTACTCTGTCATGTTTCCATCCATTTATTGATCTGTTTAGGAATATTGCTTCCTTGTCTGCAAATTAAGACATCTTTTATACTGCATAAGACACTGTAACTGAAGTAAACAAAAAATGTATGTCAAATACTGTAGAGCTTTCAGCGAAATGTAACCATTTAAATCCCTATGTGTACCTCTTATGCAGTTTTGCTCTGTAGATAACTGTTTTTCCTCTAAATCTTTTGCTTGCGAGTAGACATTTGCGATTCATTTACAGCGTGCAGTCAGTAATCCTTTTTCATCTCCGGCGACCATAAGCAGGCTGTCATTTCCGTTGTGGTCAGCATCTGCATTCCTCCTTGTGTGCTTCCCTCCCAGCTGGAGGACTGGCAGTGCGATCCATCATAGCAGCCCTTTTGCTGAAAGGGACAGAATAACATGAAGCGGGCCCTCACTCTGCAGCCCTTCACTCCTAAAGAGTGACATGCAGCGTGTTAAGTGTTAAAAGTAGCACCCACAATTATACCAGAGTGTGAAGTACTAAAATTAGCACTAGCAGTTATGACCTGGTAGTTTCCTTTCCACATTGTGTCACATCTTTTCTTAATCTTCACTTTTTCCCTCTAATTCCTCACCTCATCTGTTTTTTTATTTATTTATTTTTTGGGGAAAAAAAAGCTTCCAAAAATAAGTGATAATCACTTTAGCTTTGATGCTGTGCTGTTCTGTGTTCGCCCAGTGCCTGGAGTCATTAGCATTTAGCATCCCTGACGTGGAAGCAGTCTGAACATGCAGCATCTTTCGTTAATCCAAACATTTAACCACAACCCTGCCTCTCATCATGCTTATGATGAACAGTCATATTTGGCCTCAAAGCAGTAGAAGAACGTTGAAGGAACTGTGGGGAGTGAATATATATATATATATATATATATATATATATATATATATATATATATATATATGTATATATACAGATTCTCCAGTGTTTTCTTTTACTTGTGGATAATAATAGCTTCTTTTGGGTTTCCTTAGCTCAGCTGATCTTGATACACGTATGAGAGCTAACTGGCTTTCGACGGTGTAAGAATGAGACCAGGTGTCTTGACTGGGTTTGGGGTGAGGGGTTCATTTGAGGTTAACCATTTATATTACAGTGGGGAGCATGAGATCCTGGGCTGGCGTGTCACAGTTTGGGACAGGAGAAGCTCGCTATCCCCGGGGCTGTTGCTCATTGTCCTGTAGGGCACCTAGAGAGCAGCGGGATTTCACAGGAGAGACGGCAATAAGGAGTGAGTCTCTTCCCCTCCCAGTGAGCTGCTGCAGTTCCACTCAGAGCTCAGGACTAGGAAGGCTAGAGGGGGAGAGAGAGGGAACCGCTGCTTTGCACGAGTTTGACCAGGATAGCCTCACGCTAATTGAATACCTGCTGGATACTGAAATGTACACAGTGACAGCCTTGAATTCCTTCACTTTTTCATTTTTCTCCACATTTAAATTTTTATCTTTCCGCTACTTGGTTTTTTGCCCAGCTGTTTGGTTTATTTTTGGAAAGCATGCATTCTCTCTAACATCTTTTCCTGTTTTGCACAGGGCCAAAGACATGAAGAACCGCTTGGCCTTCCTGAGGAGGAGGAATGAGTCTCCCGGAAGTAACTCAGCCGGAAAGCTGGACAAAGCCATGAAGTCAGTCAAGTAAGTGTGTCTGCACGCCTCCTCGCTGCATGCCGACCTTGCTGGCTGGCAGGCGGGCAGACAAGTGGGCAGGAGGCAGGGCAGATCAGGGAAGCCATGGTTCAGATCGCGAGGTCAGATGCATTTGGCTGAAACTGTCCCTGTTTGTCTCCTCTGCTGTTTGCTGGAATATGTTGTTTTTTCCCCCTGCATTTTTTAATGTTGACAGTCCACCTGTAAACGGGTGACGAAGTCTGATGCTAATGGTGATGCAGGTTGGCGGCTGATGCAAGAAGCAGCATTGGTACTGTGTCGTGGTAAAACCTTTCGAACTCTGCATTTTCTCACTCGAGCATTTTTGGCAGCTTGAGATGTGCCTGTGGAATCTCCTGTTTACAAACAGAGTTTGCAATCCGCACGAACAATTTGCAGTTTTTCCAAAATGACATGGAAGGCTCCTGTGAGATAGCGGCGCCCAACTCAGCCCCGAGGAGCTTGGGCTCCTGGCCGCGTCTCCGCTGCCCCGCGTGGGAGCGACCGGCACATGGTGGCAGACTGACTTGCCCTTCATTTTTCTGTGAAGTCTGGGTCACCAAGTCGGTGCCTTCAGAATGTGGCGTCCGCTGCTACCGTGATACTTACTTTGCACAGATAGCTCCTTAAGTCTATAAGAGGGGCTTGTACCCTTCACTTGTACCTCTTTTTAAACTAAGCACTGTTGGTATGCTCTGTTGTCCTTACATTACATCTGTTAATGTAACATTCTTGTGGTTCGTTAACATCATTCTATTCGCCAATGTCCAGAATGCCCCGAATGGTGTAGAGGTGTGTAATATAAATTTCTCTTTCTGTACATTCTTAGCTCATTTGTAGGAGTTAGGAGTTGCCTATCGGTTCTGGGTATCAAGAAATTTATGATTCAGAAGTGACGTCTCATCCCATCTTATAAAGACTTACCTTGAAAAAGCATAATTTCAAAGTCCAGCTCTTTCTATATAAAAGAAATTCAGTTCATTATGAGTTAGTAATGGCATTGCATTTTATTACAAAATATTTTAAGATTTTTCGAAAACTGTTTTAATATCACAGGTTCTAGCTTCCAAATCCTCAGTAGATTTTTTTCCCAGCATAGGAGTTTCTTTACTGTCAATTATACCATATTTTTATACAGTATCTGATTTGGGACAGTAAAGTAATTTTTTAATTATAACAATTTTTACGTGCAAAGAGAACAGCAAAATCTTGTTTTGTATGGGATTTCATGCCTCCTTTCTGAGGACCTGTTGAGATTTTAGTCACTTGTTTCATGGTCACAGCAGCCTGGCTTCTGCGCACTGACTGCATTCCTTTTGTTTGTGGAATTTTTTTAATAGTTGTGCATGTTTTAGTTGTTCAATAATGTTTAGCTTAGTTGTTCAGCCATTTGAAGTGGCTTTAAGCTTTAATGCACATCCTCTGTTTGCAGCTTTGATTTATGGGAAGGTATTTACTGCAGGGAAACCTCTATACGTTTTATTCTGTGTATGTACGTTTTTCACATCTTGCCCTATGACGGTATTTATTCCACACTATTTTCAGGTGTTTTAAATGCAGTCACAAAGAACAAAGTCATAGGTAGAACAAAGAAAGTTAGAAAACAGAAACAGGTGAAAAAGGTAAAAGTGGGTTGCAATGAGATGCATCGTCTCTGTGTAGAGAATCAAGGGCAGCGTATTTTAAAACACAGAATATGGGCTGCAGTTTCTCGCTGATGGGTGGGTGGTTCTGGGGCACAAAGACACGCCCCCTAAGCTCCTCCCATCTTTCAAATCAAGTATAAGAGGATGGAGTGCAGAGGGAGGCGCTCAGACACAGTGCAGCAGAGAGCCGGTCAGACCGACCCAGTCATCCTGGCACAGGAGCCAGCCGGCTACGCTCGCTTTCATGTACACGCACCGCGGATGGGTCACACCATGAGAAACCTGGCTGATATGGGCTTACTGAAGAACCGCTCCGCTTTCATCTGCAGGCCCACCCCGGAGGAGGCACTGAGGTGGGGGGAGTCCTTGGAGAAGCTGCTGGCCCACAAATGTGAGTTTCATTGTAAATAAAATGATGTTAATATTTGGGTGCGTGAATAAGGTGGCTGCATGTTTGGATGCTTTATGTTTCAAATGGTATTTTTAAAGAATAATACTGCTCTACTTGACTAATCCTTTTTCATATTTTTAGTGGCACATTTGTCATTGCAAATATATTCTGACATGCCAGCAAAACTTGATTATTTTTACATGCACAATCACCAGGTTAGACATGCATGCCTGTCGCACAGTTCAGCTGATGTATGAATCACAGGCATGTGAGTGAGGAAATGTCATCCCTGTTAGGCTGGCATTAATCCATCTGATGAATGGAGTCCCCCAAAAGTCTGCAGTGGGGTGGGGGGTGGATGGGCGGGGGGGTGGTCCGGCGGGTGAACGATTACTGTTCACTGTGTTCACTAAATACAGTTCATTCTTATATGGTTCATGGTTTAGAAACGACCTTTGAGAAACTCTAAAAAGCTAATATATTGGTCAGCATGGGTAAGGACTGGGTGGACCATTTCCTCTTTTTGAAAATACTCCTTTTAACCCATGTCGATTTTGCAAGCATTCTCAATATCATGGGGGACTTCATTACTAATATCACGGGGGACTTCATCACCAATATCACGGGGGACTTCATCACCAATAT